TACAAACATTAAATATGCATTTTCACTTTCATATGACTTTTCATTGAGCTAGACCTGTCACATACATACAAACACACTCACACACACACACATACCATTTTGCGGGTCTTGGTTATTTGGACTGAAGAAATATCAAAACATGTATTTCTGTTGAAAACTCAGATTCAAAAATTTTCACGATCGCAATACTGTCCCTTACTATATATTTCAGGTATGTGAAAGTAAAAAGACCTTGAATATTTAATCCATATAAGCATTTATAATCTTAATAAAACGGTGTGAACGCGATTCTATATATATCTTGTGCCTTATAGCCTTATCTTGTGCATATAATTTAATTATGTAAACATTTATTTCTATGAATGCAATATTAATTTGAATCGTTGTTTATAAAGTACAAAAATTAATCATTCATCAGGCATCACCTTCCTACGTGTTCTTGCTACAAATTTTCTCATATTTTCACTCTCTTTTGGATGTATAAAGCTTATTATCTATAATTGTACATTTAACATAGTTCCGAAATAACAGAAAATAAGGATTCTAATTATACCGTACTGATTAGAAATAATAGCTAAAATTATATTTCAAGCACTGTTGTAAACAATAATTATAAGAGATAATGTACAGGGTGCTTCATGGTTTAGCGGCAAAACTGCAAAAATGAACTAAGGATCTCAAAACAAGAAAAAATTAAAAATCTGGTATGGTGCGCGCATCACAAAATTTTCACTTACCATCCTCTTAGCAGAAATAAGTATTTTCAGACAAAGGAGAAGTGAAAGTAAAAATTATAGACGCTATAATTATTTATATTTTATTTTGGGTATTTTTATTTGTATAAGTACCCATATATATATACAAATATTAATATTTACATCGCTGTAATCTATATAATTAAATATTAAATGATACCAACAATTGCATTTATGAAAACCGTGTATTTTTATTTATATAATATAGTCAGAATCCGTATTATATTAAGCTCGGATGCGGCCAATTAATACTAACTATTCTCCGTTACGATTTTTTATTTTTATTTTAGTTCATTATCAAAATCTTTCATATTGTATATATAACTATCTTTTATATTAGAAATTAATGTGAAATAGTCAGCTGTTTCAAATAAAAAAAAACAAAAGGTACGTTAAAGGTAGCCAATATTAAAAATTAGACATTTAAGCCCTGTTACAGAACATTAATCAGAATAAAAACTACATACAGGGGCCCTCAAAACGTGTATTTCCGTTAAAAACTAAGATTAAAAAATTTTCACGATCGCAATACTTTCCTTTACTATATATTTCATATATAGGTAAATAAAAGTAAATATCCTCTGAAGTTGTGTTCGCAAACGCTTTGTATAGTAGATATTCACACCAAAAGATTCTCGTTATATGAAATAAATAAAATCTATTTTGTTGTTCAAAGTGATTTCCTTAAACATTAAGAAATACTTGGCATTTTTCTTCAACAGCAGCAGTGGCAGAACGGCATTGGATATGTGTTATTGTTTCACGATGAGTACTCTGCGAAAGCCTCTTACAAACTGATAAATGTTATTGAGGGTTCCCAATGCTAATTCCAAATAGTATTAATCCTGATGCTGCCCGTAGTGGGCAGAATGGGTAGAAGGGGGTTTAATGGCACCATAAAAATTTTTGAGGGGGTACATTTTGAATTTTTGCGGGGGGCATATTTCGATTGGGTTATAATTCTTCAAAATGAAAAGTTTAAAATCAAGGGCCAAGAGGAAAGAATAGAACAAACCAGTTTAATTGTATATGATCTATAATTTTCAAAAATCTACTTTAGTTTGCACTGTTTTTAAGAAGAAATAAATAAAATATGTTGGGAGGAGAAAGGGGGGATGGGCACTCCTATTTAGGGGTATAAGGTCATATTATTAGTATTCTATCTAATCCATCTACTAAACAAAGCGTTTGCGGACATACCTTTAATTTGAACAACATTTAATATGAATGTTCATTTTTACATTAAATTAATAAAGTAGTTAGAACAAATAAATAGGTTTTATTTCTTTCATATAAATAATTCATAACAACGAAAATCATTAGGTGTGAATATCTTTTAAACAAAGCGTTTGCGGAAATACCTTCAGAGGAAATTTGTTTCTTGTTTAAAGGACCGTAGTTAATTTTTACAGTTTGGCCACTTAACTCTTAAACATCCTGTATAATAGAGAAATTAGTCTTTGTTTCAGCAATTCACATATTATATTGCTTTAGATATAGTCTGCGATACAGATCCCTTTTTGTCATATTATTAAAATCCGTCTAAAACTTCGTAAATGGCTTTATTCTAATCTACAACATTTTTATCTACGGGAATGCTTAGAAATGTGGAGTTTACTAAAATCTCACGAATACACATTTGCTTTCCACTTGAATCGCAGGATTATATTATCACATAATCGAGAAAAAAGGTGGCCTACAAAAATATTGGCCCGTTTGTTCTATACAACCTCGTTTTGACACTTTTGACATATTGGGAGTGGAGGTCACTCCAACAGCCCAAAGCTTTTGTAGGCCACCTTTTTTTCTCGATTTTATGTGACCAAATAACCTTACAATTCAAGCGAAAAACAAATGAGTGTTCTTGCCAATGCCCCCTAGAAGCAAAACAAAATTTATCAAATGGTTTCTATTTTTTTTTATATTAATGTTTTCTGACTTTGATCTCTGTGCGTTTCCAGGTTATTATATATATTGATCGATTTGCTTTTGTATATTAAATAAGAAAATAATATTTTTAATTCTGTTAAACGAATTCTGATGTGTAATAAATTAAAAAACCCTAAGACGCTTCCAGTAAAGTAAATGTTTGTCATGAAAAAATTATTCAGCCTCGTTTTTTGCGTCAACTATATCTCTTAAATAAGAGTTTCGAATTAAAAAAATATAAATTTGTGAGCTTAATTATCAGGTCGATTTTTTTTTGTTTTCATGCCGTTAACTAAAATATTCATAACATTTCAGGAATTTCTTTTAAGTCAACGTTACTAAGACAACCGTTGGAAAATTAAATTATTTTTCTTGAATATCGTATCAATAACTTTCAGATTTTAGTTCTTTATAAGGAATAAATATAGAAAAACTCCCCAAACGTTTTTATTTTAATCTCCATTCCTGATTTATTTATGGATGTCTGGTTGGTGTCATTTCGTGTATTTTGTAGGGCCCTGTATGCCTAATAATTTTCGCATGAATAAGTGGAGCCATGTCGAAGTTATCACAGCTCTTGTGATTTTCGGGGGAAAACGAAGGATCCGATTGGCTGAAATTAGGAGCAAAAATTGTTTGTTTTCTCTCAGTATGAAAATACGTATTAAAGGGTTTTTTCAACCTAGTATCACCAAAAAAAAAAATCACTGAAATCTCCAGTTTAAAAACGACCCGTTTCCGAAAATATTCGTAAATGAAAAGGTTGTAGATTATGAAAAGATGAAGACATTTATTTATAGAGTATATTAATAATTTGATTTTAAAAAAACTCAAGGTGTGTGCTTTAGACCACAAGATATAAATTAAAACATCAACAAGATTAATAATATGAATTATAAATCACAAGTAATAGCTCATTATAAAGAGAACGAGATGCTGAACATTTCCCTTCCTTAATAGTAGTTTTTTTTTTTAAATAGAAAATAACTTTATTCTGGGACAAATTCTCTTTACAATAACAACATAGAACATAATTAAAAGACTACATCTGGCCAAAATAAAACAATAATAAAAAAAGAGAAAGTAAAGAAAATATTATTTAAACAAGCTGTATGCAAAAAAAAATCTATATACAAAACACTTAAAACTATGTACAGTAGGAAAAATTATAATTATACACTTTTGAAAAATAAAATAATAAAAAATATATTGAGTTCTTCTTTAAAATGAGCTGTGTTTCTGCTAACAAAGGAAAGACAAATCTGACAATATAAAATATCGGAGTATTTAAATAATGAATAATATCTAAACACATCATTATCTTATCGTAACTATTGATACAAATTTATTTGTATAAGAATAAAAATAATAAAAAAAAACAACAATAGATGCATTCAGTGGCATTGAGAGTAGGAATATATTATAAAATCTCTAGTGAATTTTAGAGCATCAAATGGTACTGTCATTTAATGATGAATGATATAATAAAAATGTATATCAAAAGTGTAGCAAGCATCTGACTGTTTTTAGAATAGGATGCTTACAGTATGCAATATGCAAATTTTAGTTTCTGAAAAATTTTAATCTGCATCTTCAATAAAACTAGTAATAATATCTTTTTCGACACTATTTTTTTCTCTTTTTCCCTCTTTAACATGGCGTCGCGTTAAGATACAATTTTCAATAATAACTCATTACAAAGAGAATGAAATGATGAACTTTTCCCTTGCTAAGAATTAGTGTTGCCCAAAATCGGTATTGGTGTTGCACTTTGCAAGACCAGGATTGGTAAAAACAATCTATTTTTTTAATAAAAATTAAGGCAAAATAGTTACTAATACTTGACAATCTTAGTTAAAACATGTAAAGAATGGGCATAAACAATATACTTTTGCATTAAACTCCTCTAATTTTTCATTCGGGATTAGTTTGGTTTCTCCTATCTAAAAAATGACAGTTATATTTCTATAGTAATAAGCTAATAATTAACTGCAAAACTATTGTGGGACTCTTGCGCAAGAGCAAGTCCACGACGAAGACTGAGTTTGCAAGACCAAGAATCGTCTCGGTCTCGCATTTAGTTTTTGAGATATTTTAATACATTTACAAAAACACTTCAATTAGTCTACTACAGCCAACTTTACCCGAGCGTCACACATCGAATATTTGTCGGCTCAATCTATCTAATTCACTGTCAACAAAAATGATGAAAAATAAAAACTATAGACATTTTTATTTGAAAAAAAGATCTGTACCGTAACCTAAGCCTAATCCTCTATAGTAAAAATAACAATGCATATATTAAATAATCTTCACCTTTGACCAGGTTTCGAACTTGAGCTATGACGTCTGCCTCATGCTGAGCTTCCACGACAACCATCTTGTATTGATGATAGTGGCAAACTGACTGCGAACGTCTGCAGTCAGCAAAACGAAACTGCTTGTGAACGTTCGTCGTAACGCCTTGAAACGCCGGGAAAACTGGTTCGCTTCGTAGTTATTAAATATTATTATATTATTTGACATCAGAGAACGACCTTCCCAATAAAGAATAATTAAAACTATTTACTAAAAACAAAAGAATACAAACTATGTTATTATCTAAATATTATTTGCATGAAAATCTTCAATTGTTTTAAATCAGACATGCGATTCTCTTTTACGATCTATTCAATTTTTTTTTTCTAGTTTAGTTATTAACAACTGTATTAATTTAAAACATAACTAATAAGTTTTTTTTTCTAATTTAGTTATTAACAACTGTATTAATTTAAAATACAACTAATAATTGTGAACAGAACGAGACTAAAAATATGAAAAGACTTGTCTGAAAGAGAACAGAATCTACTATTGATAATTTTTTAGTCTCTATAAATATTATTAAATTTCTTTATTGAATATTAATACATTCTGCCACATTAAAGAACATTAATATTAAAGCTACATGATTCATTCTCACAATATGCACATACAATTAATATTTCAATAATAAAGAAAAAGAAATATAAAAAAATAAAATAAGTAAATTGATATGTCTGTGTACAAAAAAAAAAAAAATGAAATTTTATTTATTTTATTTTATTAGTTGTACATATTTGTGGCTCACAATAAATTTGCCATCTACCTTGGTATTCAGCAAATATTATATCAAGGAGAAGAATAACAAAACAAAAAGACAAAAAAACAACAAAAAAAACGTCGTAAAATAATACATACATTATAACATAATAACAAATACACACAAAAAAAGATAATGCATTAAGTAGCTCAATGCAATAAGTCTCTTGGCCAGCGCCTCAGCAGTCTTCTGGGCGTATTATATGGATTTGTGGCAGTAGATAGAGCCTGAGTAAGTGGATTGGAATTTACAGTCAGTCTGTCATGAAAATTATCAAAGCGGTCAGTGGCAGTTGCTGCGATGAAAGGAGTGTTAAGGTCAGTGTGTAACGTGAGGTTTGAAACATAAAAGGGTGCGTCTACAATTTTCCGAAGGAATTTTGACTGGAATGACTGAATGATTTTTATATTTGATTTCTTTGCTTTTCCCCATAATTCGATCCCATATGTCCATAGTGGTTTAATGAGGACTTTATGTAAATGATTAATTTATTAGTCATAGATAATTTAGAACGTCTATCAAGTAGCCTAGAAAGAAGTCCGTATCGCTGATTAAGTTCTTTTCTTTTTTGTTTTATGTGGTATGTCCATGAAAAATGAAATAATAGATAAAAGCTAAATGAAATTAAAGTAAATAAATCACACTCACACCTATGAACAATATTTACATTCACCCAGGGGACTCTGAGTCAAGCCTTATCCCCGGATGTGGAAGCCAAGGCAGAACTCCAGGAGATCCCAGTGATTCTCTCTCAGCCGCGTCACTGTTATTTGAAACCAGCGGAAACTGATGGAGGGCACTATGCAGCAACAGACGCTCATGTCTTGAGTGGAGAATCTGGCCATTGCAAGAACTCCAATATATAAACATTTACAGAAGGTCGCGGAGCCACTGCCGTTTTAACCTCCGGGGAGGATTGTAGAAATGGCTGGAGCTAGATAGGGATTGTGCTGCAGGATTAGAATGAGGAAGTGAGGTTCTGGTGAAATTTAGAAAATTTGTCTGGGATAAGGTCAAGAACAAATGGGACATAAAGTTCATTATGGAGAGTTTTATTGGATACATAGAAGAGAACATCGACTATTGTACGGAGGACTGAAAGTTTAAATTTTCTATTCAATAGTCTATATAGTTGTTCGTATCGTCTGTTAAGTTATTGTCTTTCAAGTCTGGTATGTGGGTTCCATGTTAGTCTTTTGTTTAGAATAAAGCCAAGATACCGGACTGTGTCGGACAGAGGAAATGGTATGGAGTTGAAGAAGACTGGTGGACAGGAATTGCGTCGAAGGGTAAAAGTGATATGTTTGGATTTGGATTCATTTACTTGGATTCGTCACTTATTACACCAGTGTTTAATAAGAGAGGGGTGGCTTTGTAGGTTTAAAGATGCTGTTTCAGGATCTGGATTGAAAGATAAGATGGCTGTGTCATCAGCGAATGTTGCCAGGAGTGTTTCGGGATGAGTAGGAATATCAGCAGTAAACAGAATGTAGAGGACGGGACCGAAGATGCTGCCTTAAGGAACTCCCGCCTTGATTGAATGACAGTTGGAGGATTCTGTACCACAGCGAACTTGAAAGGAGCGGCCATAGAGATAGGATCGGAGTTTAAGATATAAGGAATGGGATAGATGGGATTTTTTATTTATTTATTTATATGATATTTACAACTGTATACAAAAAATATATCTGGTAAATTCGCACATGGATATAATGACATGGAACACATGTTGAGAAACTACTCATTGGTAGCACTCTAATAATATGTCTATATTAGAAGATCACGTGGCCATCTTCTTTTCAGACGCCTCGGAGGGTTATCAGGTATCTAATAGAAGGCAAGGTTAGAGACAAGAGGGTTGGGATGGTTATGAAGTTTATTATGGAAGGACAGATATCTGGATTGGGCCAAATCTGATACATAAGGAACATTAAGGTCATTATGGATTATTTTATTTGTAACAAAGTAAGGAGCATTGAGGATTTTACGAAGGATTTTGGATTGTAAGGATTGTATCCGAGAGGAATTTGAAGGTTTGGTGGAGCCCCATAGCTCAAGATGGGATTTAAGCTTGAAGAGCAGTCCGGCGTGTCATACCCGGTCAAAAGCTTGCGCGATGTCCAGGAATGCTCCCGAACAATACTCTTTGCTTTCTAAGGCTGAGGATATGTGGTCAACAAGTCGGAGTCCTTGTTGGACAATGGAATGTTGGAAGCGAAATCCGAATTGATGAGTAGGAAGGTTATAGGATTCGATTAGAAGTAGGATTCGTTTTAGTAGGATTTTTTTTAAAAAAATTTGAAATGATTGGGATTATTAAACTAAAACTGCTTAAAAAAAATATTATTATAAATTTATTTTTTTGTTTAAGCAGTTTTAGTTTAATAATCCCAATCCTTTCAAATTTTTTTGAAAAAATTCTACTGAAACGAATCCTACCTATAATCGAATCCTATAACCTTCCTACTCATCAATTCGGATTTCGTTCCCAACATTCCACTGTCCAACAAGGACTCCGACTTGTTGACCACATATTCTCAGCCTTAGAAAGCAAAGAGTATTGTTCGGGAGCATTCCTGGACATCGCGCAAGCTTTTGAGGATAGGCGCAAGGATTGGGATTATTAAACTAAAACTGCTTAAAAAAAATACAAAAAAATCATTGCATTCTTAATGGGTTTTAAAACCCCATTTGATGGTATTTTTAGAAATTCTTTAATTTTAAAATTATATAGTTTAGAGATCTCAAATATTTTTTTTTTTATCATTTATGAAATTCACAACTGTATAAAAATTAATATACATTCAATAAATGTGATACAGTGAAATACATGACATGGATTGTAGAGAATCTGCGCATTGTTAGCACTCTAATAAAGTATCTAAATTAGGAGTTCATGCAGCCATCTTCTTTTCAGACGCCTAGAGCAGGGGGTATCAGAGATCGAGGAAGAAGCTAGGTTAGAAACGAGAGGATTCGGATGGTTCTGAAGATTATTATGGAAGGATAGGTATCTGGATTGGGCCCAAATCTGAAACACAAGGTACATTCAGGTCGTTATGAATTATTATATTTGTAACAAGGTAAGGAGCGTTAAGGATTTAGGATTGTAAAGATTGGATACGAGAGGAATTCTGTGGTTTAGTAGAGCCCCAAAGCTCATCAAATAAATTTATTAATAATTTAACAATATTTATTTTATATTATTTTTTTTTAGGACTTTTCTACTACTGTGGTTGTTCTTGACCTAAATATTCTTTAAGATATTTTTTCATTCTTCTATATCCAAAGCTTGTTCTTCTATAATGCTTTCTTCCACCGCGTCTTTCCATTTTACCCTTGGTCTTCCCCTTTTTCTTCTCTCTTCTACTTGCAGCTCGTTTCAGGCGTCACTCTTTTCATATGTCCAAACCAGCATAACGATATTTTCTTTTCAATATTTACTAAAAAAATTTTTTTTTCTACCTCCGACATTTCCAAAATTCTTTCATTTTTGACCTTTTCCCTTTGTGATTTTCTTGCTACTCTTCTCCAAATGTCCATCTTTACTGCTAACAGTCTGTTTCGGTGTCTTGCATTGATGACTCAAGTCTCCGAGGCATATTCGTCGTAATTGGCTCGAATATAGCCTTGTATATTATCTTCTTTGTATATTCGAGCTCCAAAGGATAAAATATTTATTCACAATCTAAATCTACAGTTCGAGTTTACTGGATGCGTTTAAATCAATACGGTAAATACCTATAAGTATTTATTTGGCACATTAAGTTCTAGTCTTTTACTTCTTTATTATTCGAAAGAGTGAATATCGGCTGCTAAAATGAGCTTAAAAGGAATTGGTTGAGTTTTATTGCACAAGTGCTTTGTTTAACTCTCAGCTAAAAAACAAATATTTGATACGGTTGGTTGGTTGTTATATAGTAAAGGCGTTAATCTTATTGGTTATCAACGTCTTTAACTAGGATTGATAATAATAAAAGGCTTAGTGAACCTAAAGGTTCGATGCCGACACCACAAATCGCTTATTACACACCTCCCTCCACCGACATCCAAACCCAGTTCCTTCAGAACAGTTTTAACGGAATCTTCCCACCTTCGCTTCGGTCTACCTCTGGGACGTTAACCAGTCGGCACAGCGAATATTATCCTTTTAGGAATTCTTTCGTTATTAAGTCCAACAATTTTACAAACTCATTTGATTCGCCACGCATACAGTTCACGCAATTCGGTTTTGTTTAACCGTCTGAACTCTCCGGTTATCTCATCCTTCTTCGGTCCTTAGATTCTACGTAAAGCTTTATTTCCAAAAAACCTTAAGACGTTAATCAAGATTATATATAATTATAAATTCTGGTTGTGAATAGTAGAAATGA